TGTACTGGCACGTATAAGCCTCTTGTGTATGCTGTGTATGACCGAGGTTGTCGAGGGTAGCCTGGCAGAGAGCCCCTGTGCGATGTGTATGCTGTGTATGACCGAGGTTGTCGAGGGTAGCCTGGCAGAGAGCCCCTGTGCGATGTGTTATGCGGCAGGTTGTGGGATGCTGGCAGGTTTTCGGTAATTTCGTTCATTCTAGAGTCTAGAGACTCTAGACGGAGGAGAGCTGAGAGGATCTGTGTGGGAGGAAGGTAGGGAAGCTATAATTGTATGGTGTGAGGAGTAGGAGGAGGAAGAGGTGGAGGATGAGAAGGAGGCTGAGAAGGAGGTGAAGGAGGAAGCAGAGGGGGAGGAGGAAGTGGATATGATATATGGTGGAGGAGGATGAGAGGTCATGCACGTGTCATATTGTACAACATGGGGAGGTCGGAAAGCCTTTACTTTTAGTGTATGATGTGTGGTGGAGGAAGGGAGGGGTAATTAAGTATCATTTTTATATGGGTAGGTGGGAGGTGGGGAAGCTCTCTATGTATGATGTGTGGAAGAGGATAAAGGGGAGGGGTTAGGTCTCATTGTATTATATAGGGAGATGGGAGGTGGGGAAGCTCTCTATGTATGATGTGTGGAAGAGGATAAGGTGGAGGGGTTAGGTCTCATTGTATTATATAGGGAGATGGGAGGTGGGGAAGCTCTCTCTGTACGTGTGGAAGAGTGGGAGGGTTTACGTCTCATTGTATAATGTGGGGGAAGGGGTTAAAATGGCAGTGTGTGATGTGGGACTGTTGCTGCTGTTGTTGTTGCTGCTGCTGCTGATGATGCTGCTACTGCTGCTGCTTCAGCTTATGATGATGATGATGATGATGATGATGATGATGATGATGATGATGATGATGATGACGACGACGATGATGATGATGAGGATGACGATGATGCTGTTGTTGCTGCTGTTACAACTGCGGTTACTGCATGCTGGGTTGTTAATCTAAGCTGTCACCTTAATAGTGATCAGTCTGGATCAGCAAAACTAATCATGTACGTGGCATTTTCACCAACGGGGAATTTTGATTGGCCTTTAATCGTGTCTTACGCAACGGCAAGCACACTGAGCAAGCAAACACGAACCTAACGGTTTATGCTACATTGCCTGGCAGAGCACCTCAGTGCCCCCTGGAGGTCATGGGCTTTTGCTGTTCCCAGGCTCGATGCATCGGTGGCGCAATCTAGTGGCTAATGCACGCAAGTGTGTGTCTGCACGAGCATTCAGCTTTCTCAACTCATTCATTAGCTCCCCATGTGGCAGCAGACTCGTACTGATCGCCCGACAGAGCAAGACTTGATAATTACGTACCGGGTATGATATCTGTACCAAATCTAATGCTGCGCGTAACACTAACCCATTAACATGAATTGTAAGGGAGAGTGTCTGTGTGGAATTCTTTCGCTGGTTCAGCTCTCGTCGTCGTTACCGTTGTCGTCGTCGTCGTCATTGCTGTCACCAACGATGACGGCGTCCCCTCCCGGACGGGTCTCCAGGCTCGACGATGCCTGACGCTTGGTGTCTCAGCAAACTTGACACGCATCCGTGTCTCGGGTCTCCCGACGAGACGCCCGAGACATCGCGAGATTCACGAACGCGGACGGGTGTCGTGAACATCAACGAATCGACCTGTGCTTAGTGTGAGCGAGATAGCTACACCCTTCTTCTTAATAATGCTGCCAGGTGGCGCTAGACAAGCTCCCGCGTTTTTCATGGGAAGTTGTCAACTTTGCCGGGCACTTCTGTGCCAAGCATTGTCTTTTAAAACGTCCTATCGCGACAACGATTGACTGGAGATGCTTGGCATTTGTGTGGGGGTGGGTTAGTTGATCGCATCAAGAGTCCATAATAGAAAATGAACTCTTGATGGTATATAATAGACGCGGCCCTGCCACCCGCACGTGTTTTACAGCCGTGGGCGTTTTTTGCTGGTTGCGTGACGTTTCTCTCGTGGTAGCGTTCGTTAGTTCAACGAAGAATAATTGTATCGCGGGGCGTTCGAACGTTACATGACCCTGATCTCACTAACGTAGCAGCCGACACGTGATTATTATTCCCCAGAATCCCTCCTAAGGTTCCTCTCCTTGTTTCCGCTCAGCTGGTTCGCGCAGGGTGTAGTCTTAGTGGATTCCCTCCCTGACCTCCGCTGTCGCCGCTCTTTGTAACATTTGACGACCATCCTCCAATCTGCCACGCTGCAGTCTCGTAACTGACACCAGGATGGTTGTTTTTAGAAAGATTTTAGTCGCGAGTCTGATATTAGTCTTAACTTTATGTTAGTCGTAGTGTTAGTATTCGCTCGGCGGCGCTACTCGTTATCGTAAAGCTATGATGTTTCTAACAACGGCCCCCTGGTGTCAGGCCCATAAACTATGAAGTCATGCTAGCATCATTGGCCAATAACCGCACTTACCCGGCTCACTGTAAGCTACTTTTATCCCGTGGCGGTTGCTTAGGGCAGCAAAGGAATCATGCTTTTCATAAGAGCACAAAGAAGGGGTTCGAATTTCACCAGGGAACCGACGGCAAGTGTTACTAGCCGTGGTGTCTTGAATATCCACAGCCATAAACTGCAGTGGCTGACCTACCTAGTTTTCCTCCGTTTTCCTCCCAAAAATTCCACATGGGCATCCCTCCCTGTGTCACCTAAAGAGGGCTGATAAACCTTAGGGCCTTGATGACCTTAATTCGAAGGAAGTGCGTGTGCCACTTTCAACTTGCTGTGGAGTCCTAAAACTTCAGTTCAACTCCAAAGCAGCACTCACTTTTCCTGCCGTGAATACATACATGTGTTAGCGTGTGAGCCCTGTAGAGTGATCACGTATCTGTGCTTGTTGCAGTGTCAGCCCGCCGTGGATGCAGGAGCCGTGGAGAAGGAGACGCCAGCAGAGGTCGTCGCCTGCTGTGACATCACATTCGCCTGCGTGTCAGACTCGCAAGCCATCCGAGAGGTGAGAGAGGCGGCGTGGCGCGGAGTGAGGGGCAACGACTCGTGATGTCCTGATGCTCGATTGTAATCGTCGTCACCATGAATGAGCTAATTAATGATTGTGGAACAATTGATTAATATTTGTGATTATTCTGATGGTTAGTTGGTGCAATCGTTAGCACTAACGGCTTTCTTTATGCTAGCAGGCACCATTTGTGTTAACGTATCTGTTTTGTTTAATGCACAATCAGTGTCCACGTTTCACAATCAACTTTAATTGATTATAATCATTATAATTGATTATAATTGTTGATCTTTGGGTGATCTTTGTCGAGGATCGGTTATGAATTTTCAATTTATTCCCGTCACTATCGATGATGAAAGCATTGGCTAGGAGGAGTTAGGTGTGAGGATAGGAAGCAGTTTAACTGATTAGAGTGAGAGAGAGAGAGAAAGAGAGAGAAAGCGAGTGAGAGAGAGAGAGAAAGAGTGAGAAAGCGAGAGAGCGAGAGCGAGAGAGAAAAGCCATCGCAGTGAATCAATGGCCATTACGATGAGAGAGGTGGGAAAGTAATAAAGAAAGCTAAGTTATATCCCGAGGGAGTAGCTGGCAAGGGCTGATAATAGATTGCTATGGCAAAAGCTGTGGAGTGTAGAGAAGGTGGATTCTGGGAAAAATAGTGTAGTTCTTGCTGCACAATGCAGTAAATACATGGGAAATGTAAT